TGCCCCTGCTACATGAAAGGCTCCGAGGCAAATTACAAAATCAAAGGATTCCCTGTTACTTAAATTTATTCACACACATATTACTATATATATATAATACATAGTAATATTAATATTAAATAAATATAAATAATGTATATATGTGATATATTCTTGTGTGTATATATAAATATTATATATATATATAGCCTTGGGATTCTTGTGGGGTCGGCTGGCTCGGTACCAGCCAGCCACGACTAGATTGCCACATACACTTTTAGGCGCAAAATGGGGCAAACTCATCTGGTGTCCCCAATGTTTGCGTTTTCCTGGGTGGGTGGTTGATTCCTTACATCATTCCCAGTCCCTGTGGGAAATTTGCTGTCATTTCACATTGGTTTCCCAGCTGCCATTCACAGTTGGGCATGGGTTTTTTGAATGGGCACGAATGATTCAACTTGGTTCCGATGATGGCTTCCAGCCTTTTGGTCACATATGTGTGGCGCGGGGCTTCTCTGCTCGGGGCTTTTGGTCGTGAAAAACAGAGCAGTTCTGAGTCGATGGGCCAATGGGCCAATCAGACATTAAGCACAGAAGGCCAAGAATTTGCAGCACAACTTGCACTGTATCCGCCTGCATGCTCGCTGCCGTACGCCAAATGAGCGTGGGCCGCGTCCTTGCCAACGCGTCGAAAGGTAGGATCATTTACAGTACCTCTGTGTAGGCTATGCATGCATCGTTTCATTTGCGGATGCCGGTGGCAACACCTATCTTGAGTGATGACGCGTACAAGTTTATCCTCAAACCTTCTTAGGGGGTAAACATGGTGCCGTGGCAAAGGCTACCTCTCTCCTCGACTAACGGGGCCCCATAGGTCTGGCAGAGTCGTCGGATCTGGGCAAAGTTGGGGGAAATGATTCCAGCGATGTGCCTCAGATTCCAGGGCAATGCCGCACATGATGTGGCACATCCATGTGGCAAGTCATGGCAATCATGCGGTGGCGACAAGTGAGGCAGTGAGAACGATTCACTCGTCAAGAAGGGCTCTGGGGGTGAGGGGCAATTTGCACATCCATCCACTTTTGATCCTAGACCTCCTCAGCTGGAAAGCAAGGCACACTAAAATCACAGCACCAACCCTTCCGTGTTGATGCCGGTGCAAAACCGCCTCCAAACTGCGCGGGCAGACCTCAGCACTTCCAGGATATGTTCATGTCACATGCCCTCATTGCTACCAAATGGCGTGGCATCCAACAATGCCCACTCAACAAAGGTTGCGTCAAGTACCGTTCATGGCGGTTGCACCCACGGCCCCTAGGCCCTAGTCCAGCACCTGCATGTACTCTTTCTCAATGTCCACCCACTCCTTGGCTTAGGCTGTGGACAAAAAATAACTTCCGCAATCTCATTTCAACTTCCAAAATCTCATTTCGTGGACTTGCAATTCCTGAAGCAGCACCTGCGGCAACGAGTTTTTGCTGGTCGGCGATTCAGGGTGTTGTGGTCGGGTGGTAAGATGTTTCCAACATTCAATGCATGTTCATGCTGCGTTATGCTTAACCGTCTCCCTGATTCACTAGCGTCAGGCAAAAGAAAAGGAGACACATCAACTCACTTACTAGGTGGAGTTTTGGGGCTCCAGCTCCATGCAACCCCCTTCCATTTCAAGCGGCAAGGTTGGCCCCAGCATTCAGCGCTGCCACTTGCGTCGCGAAGAAAGTGTTGCTTGGGATGACAACCGCCTTGAGCAACATGCACTGGCTGTACTCGTGCCATCTGCTTGGGAACAAAGAAGTCCGCAAACGCAGGGGATACCGGATACCAAACATTAATTTATAAATTTGAAAATTGAAGACTCTCCGTTCTGGGGCAACTGTGTACTTGCCGTTGGCAGCCAATGCACCTTGCCGGCAACGTCCAGGGCTCGCAGCGCAATGGCCAAAGCTTGCGTGCCAGACCTCGCAGTGAAAAAACAGGAACAGGAACGGGTGTAGGGAAAACTGCGGATCACTTTTTAAGGTTCCATGTCCAAGAGCTCTTTCCAGGAATCTGGTGTGATCTACGTGGAGATGGTCTTGAGAACAAAAACCTTTGCAATGTGATGGTGGAGAATGTTCTTGAACGCGGGACAAAAAGACACGTAACACATCTCATCTCCCTGGTAGGTAGCATTGCCTTGCCTGGAGACAGTATCGAAAAGGTTTCGGCTCTTGGCTTCCAACGTGGTAGCCAAAGCAAAAGGAACGTGGCTAAGCTGTGCAAAACTTTCCTCGAACTGCCTGGCTTGGGGCAGTTGAAGCACCAAATGAAGCACTGCAGCAGCTGAACAACTGCGCCAACCAAATGAAGCACTAAAATCATAGTTTGACACGCGTACAACGCGACTTACTGATGAGATTATGCCTTCGAGTTGTCACCAGCATGTGTCACGCCAACCCCCTGCTTCATCCAGCAGAAAATCACACAAATCTTGAAACACCAGCGTTTTGAGTGACTGCTAATACAATCTGAACAGCCAGCCAGTAGTCCGCCCGCTTTACCCAGCTACGCCTCACATAGTAGTTCTCGCTCAGCGGCCGTCCGCTGCAAAGGATTTCGCGGCACTTGGAGGTGAAAGACTCAACGAAACCAGGCTCAAAGTCGAGCCGGAAGATCGGCCTTGAAATATGGAGTTCGAAAAATTGAAGATCCCTACTACAACCCAAAATGAGGCAGGAAAAAACATATCACACGTCCGAGGCTTGATTGGCCATCAAACCACTCTAATCCATGATAGAGAGATGGTATGTGTTTGATTGTTTGTTCTGAGTTTCTGACACCTTGCGGTGTGGTTTGGGCAACCTCGCAATTCGGTCGGGGACGATATGCAAAATTCATCTCTCCTACACTAAATGTACCAAACTGATGCGCCAAAACCATCAATCCAAGCCCCTGACTGCGCTTGTCGTTTTCCTTTGACAAAAGGCTCCTGCAAATCAATCAATTACAAATCATTTTGAAGCAGCTAGAACTGTAGCGCCAATCCTGAAACCGCGGAGAACTCCTTTGGTTCATTCAACAACCCGTTCGCACCTCAATGCTATCCTGACGATGTGGGGCTTCAAGTCTCAATCTTGACCCTTTTTGCAGCTGATGCGATCCCAGTTCGTGGTGAAACCTTTGTGGCCTCGGCGGTCCAAAAATCCGGTTCATTTCCTCAACGCGCTTAACTGCACAGTCCTCTGCCACACGTTTCCCGGGCAACCAGGCATCCTCAGTCTGTGGAAACAAACAATGGGTTCGATTTTAATCGCTCTCAGGTTCTAAATCCCTAAACATATACTGGAAACATGATCAAACATGTATGTAGCCAAGTATGGTTCTCAGCAAGGCTCCAAGGCTCCGGGCACACCCCCAACAATGTGTCAAGACCAAACCAAAAAACTGCCCATCCCGTTGAACCAAGTCGCCCCATCAAAATCCAATGGTATGCTAGACGTTCCTGCAGCACCACGCGAGGCAAGAATCTCTCCTGGCGGCATCAAAACGGCTATGTGATCGAATTTACTCTTGTTGCCACGCGCACGGCATTGAAACACCTAGGTAGTGTTGGGACGTTGCTCATATGTGTGGCAACACCGCACGTGATTCAAATGTCCTCTTGCGTGGCGCTGCAGGGCTAAGAAGGGCTGCCAACAAACAAAGCGTGAACATTGTATAAAAATTTGACTCCTCTATGGGCCCATATGCTAACATGTTTGTTGCCAGAAAAACCGTCACCCTTCCGCCTTGTTGCAACGCCACGCGGAAGTTGCAGCAAAGCAAAGCATCCTGGCCTCATCGAAGGCGAGTTTGGACACGACGAACCCAAACACAGCACAAAAACCACCACGGAAAAATATTGTCCATGGCCAAAAGGTTCCTTCGGCTAGGGCCGGCTGGGGCCCCGACTTCGAACCCAAGCCCTGGACCCAACACTGCCAACCACCTTCGCAAGTGAGGTTTGGTGGTTGGTTTTTTGTTCCAAACCGCACGCCTCACCCGGGGCCGACGCAGCAAAGCACTTCAAGCGATCTGCTTGAAAGACCAAACTCTCCTCGGGCATCGCGCGCTGCGGAGCTGCAAGCAGCGCAAGAAGTCATGTAGCATAGCAGTCGTCCAAACAAAAGGAATTTAGTTGCGTGAGCAATTGCTGCCCATCCGGGCAAGCGGCCATTCCAAGCACCTGACAACAGTGGACTCATTTGGTTTGCTTCGGCAAGCGGGAAGCGCTCACAGCACATGGAAGGGAGGAAGGAGGGAATTGCAGCAGAAAAGCGAGTTTGCACGCGGTATGCGGTATTGGCAAACCTGGTGTATTCGTTCACAGGTCCAGCACACAAGCATTCTAGCGCTGCCACTTTGGGGAAGTGGTAGCGGGCCTTGTGTCTTGCGTTCGCTTTGTGCAAATAGGTCCACTTCGTGTGCATCTGCTCGATATGTCGGACGGGAAACAATTGGAGTTCGGCTCCCATCTGAAGGATCATTGTCCAGATCTTCAACGACAACGAAAATTGCCTGATAGACCCCAGGAACGTGAATGTTAGATATAAGTGAAAGGAGCGGATTGATATCAAACATGACATGGGACAGCAAATGAAAACAGCGCGGACTCACGTAAACACAGTTTTTCCACCGAAACCGATCTGGGACACCTTTTTCGTGGAAGACTCTTGTCGAACACTCTCGTGGGACACTCTTGTGGGACAATCCCGCACAACACTCTGGTGGTGAGACATTCTTATTTACTTTCCACCGATGTGATTTCGAGAAGAAATCTTGAGCCACCATGGTGAGAACATGGTATGTGTGTACAACACAACAGACACCCTGAGCTGCCAATTGTTGATCTCAACATTGGTAGCGGAGCCCGGTTCGCTGCCGGGCTCCAGTAGCTGCACGCGATAGAAATCATCCAGGGCACCTCAACCTGAGCTTCTTCGCCTTTGTTTTGATTCGATGGCTGGATCTCAAGCCTCTTCAACTCAAGGAGGCCTTGAAGTGACAAGGGATAAGTTCATCCCTCTGTTTGACAACAACATCCGCAATTACAAAGAATGGCGTGCACGAATTTTGCTGCCCGGAAAGAAAATGAGCATCCAGAACAAAGCCAAGGAGGCCACGATAAACCTCCTGACAAGTTTGACTGGAGTTTCTTGGCGTCAAGTCGAGCTCGACAAGTGCTTCAAGTATGACTCGAGGGTCGAAGCATCCAGAAGCATGGAGTTGCTTTTAATTTTCTTCACCATGGGCCGACGCCCTGAGCAGACGCTTTTGACATATGTGGCTGAGCACAAAGAACGAAAACGTGAAATCGAACGCCACGGCATCAAAGTGCCAGATGCCATCAGCGGCTGGCTTCTCCTGAGAAGAGCTGGATTGATCCTGGAACAACGACACCTTGTGATGTCACAAGTTGGAAGCGATACCGAGATCGCCAAGGTGGAGGGTGCATTGCATTTCTTGTTTGGACAAGATTTCAAGACTTCATCCTCCACTCGCTGGACTGGTCGCAACTCAAGTTCCTCTTGGAAGAGCCGCAATGTTGGCCGAGCTTACACGACAGAAGAATATCCATATGATGATGAGGAGCTCGACTATGAGGCCTACACCTTGGAGGAGGAGAATCCTGAGCTTGAATAATTTTGTGAGGAAGATGAGCAGACTGAGACCGGTTTCTATCAGGAACAACCCGATGAAGACGAACACGCTTTCCTGGAAGAAGAGTGGGATGAAGAAGTTGAGACTGCCTATGCAACCTATCTGGATGCCCGCAAGCGGTTCTCCGACCTGAAGGCTTCTCGTGGTTTTTGGCCAGTATATGCAGTTCCACCAACTTCATCTCCAATGGCATCAAGCTCAACAGCGCCTTCGACTCCTTTTCCACCTTCTTCAAAAGGGGCAAAAGCAAGAGCAAAGGAAAGAACAAAAGCAAGAGCGAGAGTCCATCCAGGAATTTGACCACACGTACACAAAGTGCTGGATACAATTTGACTTGTTTGAAGTGCGGACAAGCTGGACATTGGGCTGCACAATGTCCTATGAATACATCATCTCCGAAGAGTTCCTCAACAACCTCATCGCCCAAGCGACAGAAAAGTGAAGCTGCCATGATGGCCTTGCCTGTCAATGGATACACATGTAGACGTCACCTCGCAGGGCAAAGGTGTTTTTGGAATCTTGGACACTGGAGCAAGTAGTGTTGTGATGGGACGCCAAACTATGCTCATGGTCCTCGCCTACCTGCAAAACCATGGTGTTGACATTGGACGCATTGAGTTTCGCCCCGCCAACAAGTTGTTTCAGTTTGGAGGAGACCACACTGGACATGCTGCTTGGTCGATTCACTTGAGGCCAGGGGGGGTGAACGAAAGCTAGCCCGGCTAGCCACTGCGAAGCAAGAACGACTCCAACTTTTCGTGACCATTGAGCATTCATCAAGATTCAATCAGACTTGCCGCCTCTGCTCACCAAAGAAGACTCCCACAAACCCCGCCCTGCGAAGGGGTCCACAGGGAGTCCGCGCGCCACTTCCCCCCTTTTCTGGAGCAAGCTCGATGTAGGGTCGGCTCCAGTTCTCAAGTTGCATTCAATTGGCGGATCACCCCTGGCACGCAGTGAAACGTGACGAGATCAGGTGACGTTTCGCCTTTTTTGGTTTGGGATCATCCCAGCCCGAAATGACGCCCTTCAGACCATGATTAAAACAAAAACAAAGAGGGATGAAGAAGGGGGAAAGGATCATTGGCCATGTTCAATGACCAATCTCCTTATGGATGCGTCCAAAAGAATCCAAAACATGCACAGGGCCATCCAGTCGCAAACAAAAGAAAAACTTCGTTGGGGACTTATAACCTGAGGCATCATATATATATATATTAGGTCATTAGGTAGTATACTGACGCATTTTAGGGGATTCAGTGCTTCCAATAGTACAGAAACTTCAACCCAAACCACCGAAATCGGCTGGTCCATGAGACCTTACCAACCAAAAAGATACCTTTGGGGACTAGGACCTCTTTGCCTCATGTCTGCGCAAGAAATCGAGTGAGATTCTCAGTTCTCCTGCCGCAAAAAGTGAAGTGTGTCATCTGGAGACATCAAATGGTGTGATCATGTCTGATCCATCTAACATGTTCCATAGGCCGCTAGTAGGTTGGAGGTCAGCGCTAGGAGGCCATCGTTATTAGGTTCGTTAATGTTCTTTAGGGAATCTTTTTTTTCTATATGTGCACACTGTGAGATGAACGTCCCATCTGCATCCATCTGCGTCTGTCGCGGAGCTTCATGGTGCTTCGCGTTTCTGCATGTGTTCTCTTGAGACGCCTGGGACAGCTCGACTAGCGCAACATCGGGACTCCTCCATCATCCAATCTGGCAAGGGAGCATGAGCTGCTTGATGGGGGGTCCAATCTGAACTGAATCCCCATCCAACCTGGATCATCCTGTAGCAACTGTCCAATCGGGTTCACATTCACCAACATCAGCATCCTGCCACCACCTGCCTTTCACCCAAAGAGATCAACCCACAGAACTGCGAACTGCGCTCCAGAAAGCCGATTCGGCGTCTACAGGGGCCTTCGAGGGACACTTCAGGGTATTCCTAACTTCAAAGAGACCCCCCTACCGCGTCGGGACCGAAGATGACCGTGACAGCTCGTTACCGAGTCCAGTCTGGACAGTTCCATGACCGAAAAAGCCTCGTTGGAGCCGATATGTTCAGTGGCATTCGGCAGGGCTTTGGTCCCCTTCTCCTCCCATTCAAAGAGTCTTCAACTAGGAGCATTTCGGGCATCGCTACTAATCAGGAGCGATCGGACGCTACGTTCGAGGCTCCTGGCATCGCCACTAGTAACAAGAAGCTATGAGGAACAAGTGCATCGCTTCTAGTAACAAGTGCCTTACTACTAGTAACAAGAAGCTACTAGTAACAGCAACCGTCATCGGAGGCTTCGGACTGAGCGTCCCCGTCGGTGCGGGCAGGAGGGAGCTTGTAGTCGTGATAGGCGGCTGGAGGAACCTAGTGCTGAGATCGCAGGAGTCAGGAAGAGGGAAATATGGTGGAACAAGGGGGAAGAGCGTGTAAGGGGGCCAGTAATTGCGCTGCATGGAGTCGATGGAAAAAAGTGTGGATGCCGACAATGGAAAGTCGACGTAGTGCTTTAGAATAAAACGTAGCTGATCAGGCTAAGCCAGGGACGATGGTGTGGGGCGGCTGCAGCGCATGAGGAAAATGCGTGGAGT